CGTCATATGACGTCCTACATTCATCGTAACAATCAGGGTTCGATCTTATTTCAAATAAATTTATTAAAAATATATATTTTAAATAAAGACAAAATTAAACAGTAGTTATTTAGTATTATTATATATTTAAAATAACTTCTTCTAACCTATTTCTTATTTAATATTTTAAATAAGTTTTTGGAACTTATTTTATATTTTTTATTTTAAATAAATTATATCAGTTTTTTATTGATTTTAAATTTTAAATCATTTTCTGGAACCTATTTTATATTTCTTATTTTAAATAAATTGTATCAGTTATGTTATCGATCCATCGGTAAAGGTGACAATGAGTAATTAAATTATAATATTTATGACGAAATATAGCACGTGTGGAGTATGAGATATACCCACATATGATCCATGTTGAGTTTCTACCTGGCTCGTAAAGAGTTAATATTATTAAGTATTAATTATAGGCTGTAGCTATAAAAACAGAACTGAAACGTTATATTTAGAAATGTTACATTTGTATATTCAAATAAACAAAATCATTAAAATATTTTTTATTTGAAACATTTATTTATAATACATATTCCTTACTTTATATTTAAGTAAGTTTTTCGAAATCTATTTTTTATTTAAAATAAGAAATATCCTTTAAAAACTTTTTTTTTTTTAAATAAAAAACAAGTTATTTTTATATTTTAAATAAAAGTTATTCTTTATTTTAAATAAATAAATGCATTTTAGAGCCCTATTTCTTATATTATATTTTAAATAATTTCTTGTGACCTATTTTTTGTTTAATATCTTAAATAAGTTTTTGGAACCTATTTTATATTTTTTATTTCAAATAAGTCATATCAGTTATGTTACTTAGCCCTGGAATCCAGTATAATACGTACAGCTGTCTCTATTAATGTGCTCTATATTGGAGCTGAAAACGTTGTGTTATGAGTATAAATTTGTTATCTGTTTTAGTAACTATTAAAATAAATCAAATACGAATAGGCACACAAATTAGTAAAATTATGCAAGAAATAATGATGACAAAAGTTAGAAAGCATTTTCAATTAATTCATTCTTAACATAATCATTAATACAATAAAATATAATTATAATTAATAATTATTAAATAATATAATATAATAGAAAGTTATAAGAAAATAAATAAAAAATAACCATTAATATAAAAAATTTATTACGATAAAATGAGATTAATTGCTTACAAATATAAATTGCCTTTTTAGTACATATATTTTTTGTATTATCCCATTTCATCATGAATATTTAATGTATGACTCATGGTACTCCAATTATACATTTAATTATACATTTAATAGAAAAAAACTATAAAAAATAAATGTTAAATCATTACTTTTAATATAATAAATTAGTAGAAAAGATGCACAGAAACTTTATCTTCATACGTATATCTTCTACTACAAAAACAATATTAAAACATTTTTATGCGGTTAAAAAGTTACTATTGCACCACAAAACCATTAATGATCGAATATTTTGGTCATGTTGGTTTTTTTTTAGGTGGCATCAAAAAGATATGAAAGTTACCTCTTTTTTAAATAGAATTGTATGATTTTCTTTAAACAATATAATATTCCTCTAATTATTCTGCATATAAAAATATTAAGGTAAAAATATCAAAAAACCAAAAGTTGACAAGATATTTTATATTTTATTGTGGCACATATTGACATAAAATGTTAAATAACTCATAAATTATTGATTTTTTGATAATCGTACCTTAATACGTTTAATACGAACAGAAGATAAGATGAATCAGTTGTTGGAAAGAAAACATATTATTGGAAAGAAAACATATAACAAATTTTTTATTTTGCATACATATTTTTTTAAAAGCTTTGCTTTAAGCAACAATATGTTTTCTTTATACTAACTGATTCATCTTATTATTCTGATCATAAAAATATTAAGGTACGATTATCAAAAAGTTAATAGTTTACGAGTTATTTAACGTTTTATGTAAATATATATGTGCCAGAATAAAGTGTAAAATGTCTCGTAAACTATTGGTTTTTTTATATTACTACCTCAATCATATTGTGAAAAAAAAAATCATACAATTTCATTTAAAAAAGGAGAGAAAAGAAGATAACCTTCATATCTTTTTGGCGCCTTCATCTAGAAAAAAAAACACGACCAAAATACGTCCCCCTCGAAAACCATTCCACTTTCGTTTGAAACATTTTTTTGTATTATCAAAAATAAGCGAAATATTCAAGATGTTCGATTTAAGTGGACCACCCTGTATAATACATACTCGAAAAGAATGATATAAAATATCTAAACATTTGGGTAGGTATTA